AACAAAAAGAAAAAGGATTAAAGAATAAGATGTTGATCACACTTAGGGTTTAACGGGTTTAACGTGAACTAAATGGTTGAACATCTTACCGTAGCTTCAGCCTGACTTTTTTCATCTTTAAGAACTGCATTGACACCAAGGTCCACCATGTCAGCTGTGACCGATTGATTGCCATGGTGATACTGTGCGACGCCAGACGAACCTGATCATACAAGGATCAATATTAGTGCCTGAGCAACTGCACACCAACCCCTCCCTTCACCCAACATTAACCCTCATTTGTCATCAATTGACTGTTGTTAGGTTGGGGGGGGGTTAGTGCGCATTCGCTCCTTTATTGACTTTCATCCTCATACATACGCTAGTTAAAAGGGTATACCGTTCGCAAAAAGATGAAAATAATACTCGTCCCCCTCCCGCTCCATCACCCTTCTTTTCCAATTGTTCCCACAAGTTTAGTTCCTGGACCAGGCTGCTAAGACGTCAACTACAGAAGCTGATCGTGAGAGTAAAGCTACGTACTTGTTTTACTCCAGGAGAAGAGCAAATACCACTTTTTAGTTAAATCTCTAAAGTGGACTGCATTCGAAGTAAGTTTTCGAGTCACCCTGAAGGTAAAGAGACAGAACAGAATCTGTTAACTTGAAGGGGAAAAGTTACTTTAAATTCCCTTAGAATCCATTCACTTAGCACACAATTTTTTTTTTGGCATGGACATAAAGGCTATTTCCGACAAGTTTTCGTGATCGCAGCCAAAAGCGTTCCTCAAGACACACTCTGAACACGCTCGGGATTACAAAAGATGTTCCTTGAACAAAAACTTCCCTTCATTGAAGGAAAATGGTACAAAAGTCGAAGACCCATTTTCCAATCGGGATTCTTGAGTTTGTGTCCTTTGAACCGACTTAACTAAACCTTAGAAATGTGTAGCGTAGGTTTGATGGTATGACTAATTGGCAGGAACTGTAATGAGATAACTCCTACCCGAGAACATTGAGAGGGGCTAGATAGGTTCTAGTTGTGCCAGAATAAAGGTATTATAAATAGGTTCGTATTCGCGCCTTAAAGGCCTGTTACTGAACTACCACTCCCACTAATATAGATCTTTTCAATTGAATGTCGAAAACCCAAAACCAGACGAATTACAATTGCAAATCAGAACAGAGGTTAACAGGATCATTAACCAATGACAACTCAAAGTAAAAACAGGCAACCTGCTTGAAGTGCGAGAAAACAAGCGCGGCAACCTGCTTGAAGCGCGGGAAAACAAGCGCGGCAACATGCTTGAGGCGCGGGAAAACAAGCTCGGCAACCTGCTTGAAGCGCGGGAAAACGCGAGTGACCAAGTTGGGATAGGTTTTTGTTTTGCATCTGATTGGCTGAGAGGGTAGCGAGAGTTTTCTAAACCAATCACAGAGCGAAGTCAACCAAAACAAGGCCATGAAAATAGCTCCATTTGATGCCAAGACTTGCCCGCATCTCCCTCATACAAACCTGCACTTTATCCCACCATCCTCGTAAACTATCTTGTCCAAGGTGATGTCCGAGTTACCAGTCTGCAAGAGAAATTGCCATATAAGTGATATTAACACCCAA